CATGGCACGACCAAAGAAATACGCCACTGTGGGGGAACGTAAAGCTGCCACTGCTGCGAGACAAAGGGAGTGACGTGCGCAGGAAACATTACATAGAATAGCACAATCAACTTCTGGAGGCTTACAGAATGAAACTCATGAGCTCAGATCTGCAATGTTGCACAGGCAGGCAGAAGCAAAACGACGCAGAAGACAAAATGACACAACAAGGCAAATTGATTCCAAATAATAATACTTTTTTTTTACCAAAAATGTTGTGTATACAGAAGTTTTATGATGGGATAAATGATGGAATACAGAATACAGCTAAAGAATATCTTCAGTCCGTAATACAGAAATACTATTTGCTGTGTATTGATCTGTTAACATTACTTTTTAACATGAAGATTTGTATATATTTATATTTGATTTTTTAATCATATTAATTCTATTTATTCGAACAATTTCGAGTAAAGAATAGCTTCACTTTCTCATGTACAAATACTGTTTGCTGTTTGTGTATTGATATTTGAAGTTTAGTTTCTAAGATGAAGAATTGTATACATTTATATATATTAACTGCATCAAACTTTTAAACATTAAGCGCACACAACTTTCATACATTAAGTGCATTAAACATGCCTCAGAAATTTGTAATACTGCTGGAACGCCCACTAGGGGGCGTCCCAGGCTACTAGTAATAAATAAATTATAAAACATATAAATTATACTTTGTTTAAAAACAAAGCGAGTAGACAGCACAACAAGTATTACCGTTCTGTGCGCAAAACAAAGGATGAAATAATTTGTGTAACCAGCCCAAAATGTAGCCAAGTCAAATTTTTGTAGCCCAAAAAGTAGCCAGTGCGCCAAATGCTTTTTTAACGCCAAACTGAAAAATAAGTAGCCCAATTTTGCGCAAAGTAGCCAAATCTGGCAACGCTGTAACAGACTACCTATTGTTTAAAAGGCTCTTTAGTGGCGCAAGAAAACGGATTTTATAAAATAAAAAGCAGTTGAAACTGCATTTTTATGAATAAAAATTTGACAAACTATTTATCGTTCTACGACGAGTAAAATTTTTTCGTCGCGTTCACGGCTTTTAAGTAATGCATAAACCTTCGAGGCGCGAGGCCCTTCGGACCGCGAGGCATAGGCGGTGTCCCACGTTGCCCATGCCTTACGCCTCCCTTGGTCATAGAAATGATGTAATTTGAATATAAATTATTTATAAATACGTATGTCAAGTTATATTTTTATTACTACGTAAAATATATTTAAGAGTTTACGACCACTGTGATGGGTGAGACGTTGTTGAAACAAAGAAAAGTTATGCATTCCATCACGTACATAAACAGTGTCGTAATTCGCCAAGTGCAAATCAGCAAATTCGTAAAATTTTTGTTTACAGTCGACCCCCCTATAACACTTGATTATTCCGTTTTATATGAATTCTATGTTGTACGAGTCACTTAGATTTTACAAATATGTGTGCCAGGCTGTGAATGGCTCACATATTTGTAAAATCAAAGTGACTCGTACAACATGGAATTTATATAAAATGGAATAATCGACAGTGTTATAGGGGGGTCAACTGTACTTTGAACAACCCGGATAATCGAAAATCCGGATAATGGAGGTTCTACTGTATATAGTAATAGAATAAAATTTTCCATATTAAAACTTACAATACATATGCTCTGGTATAAGGTCCTAGACAGAACAGAACAGAACCTTCACTAAAATTTACACTGGAATTATTTATATTTTAAAAAAATAGAAAATAAATGTTAAAGAAAAAAGTTCGTTTGTTTCAAAAACGCGACATTACATCATAAACAGACAGAATATAATCCCAAGATCGACTATCTCTGGTTAGGAGTTCAAACTCCTCTTAGAGTTTTTCCTCTCCTGCGAACCAACGCTTAACAACGAGTGAACAGCTACTTGAAAAGAGAAAAAAAGAGAAAAAGTCTAATCGAAATGGGCGATCAAGCGAAAAACTTATAAATATCTCCCCGGTGTCAAAAAGCATGGGCGCGGCTGGACTCGGGTTGTCTATGTCAGTTTTTTCTATTGCAACAAACAACAATACCCTGTGTCGTTGAAGGACATGATCTTAGATCATTCTGACACGGGGATTAACGATTTTGCAACTTTGTCATCTAATCAACAATAGTTAGATATAAATATGTTATACCCCGTGGTATAACACATGTCAAAAGAAAAAGCAAATGAACGATGTTTGAGATGTCGCGATATAACACCTGTTTTGTTTGTTTTCGATCATCATTTCAACATGCTTTTTACTTACACTACTGTTATATATAAAAGAGGAAATATGCTGCTATAAGTAAAAAAAACCGAATATTTTAAATTTTTGCTTAGTTCAATGTCACGACTTGGTGAATTTACTGACACTTGGCAAATAATTTCATCATCAACCTTTAATCCATATAGATACGCGTTTCGGGCTATTGCCCCTCTTCAGTCTGTTACAATAGGTTGTATCTTGTGAACGTCTGTCAGGCACCTTCCGCACTACGTCTTCCCACTCCCCTTCCCTTCCCTTCACAGTGAACTAAACAAAAGTATTAACAGTAATGGTAATAACACAGTCGTTACTAAACGAGATGATCAGTGAAGATACTGAAGTGGAGCTAAAAAACAATTAGATTATTTTGTTATTGATAAATAAATTTAATATCAACTGTGTCAAGAAAATACCAAAGTAGATGGGTTTCAGTCAGCAGTGGCCAAAAAGCAAAGTAAATGAAAAATTTCAGTCAGGAGTCTTGCAATATGATTGGCATTCATCACGAAAATATACAATTGATATTAATTATAATTATGAAAATTATTGAATATACAACTTTTATTTGATTTGTGTCAAGATTATTATGAAGAAAAAATGAGTCTGACTAACGAATGTCGAAAAAGCAGTTTCCAATGACAAAGAAATTTTACTCAGGAGTCAGGGTGTGTTATTGACATGCATCAGAATAATGCATAATATTTACTGAAAGAGGCAACGAGATAGAGAGTCAAAGATGGTGTCAGCATGCATTCAATAAAATGGAAAATCAATTTACAGTAGCTCTGCTCCAAAATCTACGAGTGCCAGCAAATACCAGTCTTTACTGGATATGCCTTTTCGTTTAAAATTTGGAAGTGGTTTCAGTTTTTTCAACAGCACAACACCTATATAAACACAGTTCACTCAACATTTTAATGGATGGGCTTCAAGTTATGTATTTGCCATCTGAAATCCCGAATTTGGTACTTATAAATAAACGCATGGAAAAGGGGATTTATAGTACAGAATTGCAGAATTTACAGAGGTATAAAGATATTGTCCCATACTATAAAGATTTGGGAGAAAATTGTAGAAAGAAGGATTAGGCAGGAATCTGAGATTGGAGAGGAACAGTTTGGCTTTTTGCCGGGAAAGACTATGACTGTTGCAAAAACAGGTGTGGAAAGGCACAGGGAAATGCGGAAAGATTAGCACATAGTGTTCAAAGATTTAGAAAAGGTTTATGATATAGTACTGAAACAATAGGTATGGAGATGTATGAGGAAAAAGAATGTTCCGAAGAAATATGTTAGGCTCGTGAAGGAAATGAATGAGGGAGCAAAGACACAAGTTAAGAGTAGTGCAAGCACTACAGAAGGGTTCTCCGTTAATGTCGGTTTACATCAGGGATCGGCCCTTAGACCTTATTTGTTTGACCTGATAATGGACGTTTTAGTGTGTGACGAGAAGTCTGAGGTTCCGTGGAGCATGCTGTTTGCGAAAGATATGCTGTATTCTTTCCCAACCGAAGGCTGATTAAAAACTGGAAGATGGAAGAAAAGTTTTGGAAGAAAGGGGCATGAGGATACTAAAGGGGCATGAAGAGAACTAAAACAGCATATAGGATTCTGAATGCTAGGAATGAGTTTAAAATAAAAAAATGTGCCTCTCACTTTTGTTGCGAGTTTTAAATATCTTAACACATTTGTCGAGATAAGAAGTAAATTGAACTCGGAGGTGCAGCATATATTTCTATGTGGATGGATGAACTTGATGAAGCTGAGAGGTGTGTTATGCGACAAAAAGTTAGCTTCAAGCTGAAAGGAAAATTGTATAAATCGGTTGTTGGACCTGCAAGGTTATATGGAGCTAAGACATGGGCAATAACAAAAGCCCAAGAAAGAAAAATGGAGGAGCAGAGATGAAAATGCTCAGATGGATGTGTGGAGTGTCAAAGAAGAATAGAATAAGGAATGATTTTGTTAGAGGTTCTGTTAAGGTAGACCCCATTGGCAAAAAGGTTTATCAATGTAAGTTGAAGTGGTTTGGCCACGTACAGCGAACAATAATTATTATGAAGTGATAATTATATTGAAAAGAAAATCGGAAAAACTGCTAGTAAAAGAAAAGAGAAAAAAAGGAAAACCAAAATTGCGTTGGAAAGATAAGGTGGACGAAGACTTGAACCAGAAGAGACTTAAGAGTGAAGAAGCCCTTCATAGAGAGAAACGGAAATGACGTATTAGAGAAAAACGCCGACCCATATAAACATGGGGAAAAGCGAAGATAAAGAAGAAGAAGAAGAAAAAGAAGAAAAATAAGAAAACGCATGGAGTGAATTGGCTCGAGGTGTATAAGAAACAGGCGAACAATATAAGTCAGTTGATGAACTGAAAACCGCCATTGCATAGTGCTAAAAAATTCTAATGTGAATACGATGCAAACCTGATTCAATAATGAGGTATAGTTTATAATGTCAGATTTAATGGAAATGGCTTCATTGGTCACTATGAGTACGAAATAATCAATGATTTTAAAATTTTGTAACATCTAATTTTTAAACTTCTTAAAATTCTTGTGAAATAAATCAACAACAACATATTTGTGTTCTTAAAATTTGTTAAAGTTGTTATAAAAATTTTCCAATCCATCGTATGTTATGCATCATTGTGTAAAGACTACTGGAAAAATTAAAACAATTTACATTGTACTGAATTTTCCATACCTGTTCATTGCTGTGATGTATTCTTCATAATTTTCAGATTGAGACATTAGAAAAATTCCTAATATTACATCTACATAAAAATAAATTGGTGTTAATAATGTTTAAATAAATATATTACAGTAGAGATGAATACCTGCAGCTATGTCCAAAGTGCAATATTTCATCCATTTCAGGGCATAAAAAATTTCACCTTGCTGCAGATTTTTTAATTTTTCGACTAAAAAATTTGAATGCTCCATGAGCACATTTTGACGATTTTTAAGATTCCAAAGGTGAAAATATGAAGCTAAATATCTTCTCCTTCTTCTCCAATTATCATCAGGACTTTATTTGATTAAACACAGAAAATTGAAAACAACAACATTTTAAATAAATGTAAAATAATACATTACCTGTAGAAAATAGTATTTTTTCCAAACACTGGAATAAAGAAATCGTAAGTAGCATCCTTATTGATAAAACTGTTGCTTTTTAGAACTTCCTACAAAAAGCAATAAATTTTCATTTATAATAAACATATTATATAACTATATACAGTATTATTCATTACCTTTGCAGATTCCGGGTGTATGAAAATAAACACTTTATATCCAAATATGTTCATGTATACAACTTTCTCTTTTGGAAATAATGTAGAGAGTCCAAGTAGTACATTCGAAGTAACTTCATAAAGATAAAAAAGTTATTTATATATTCATAAATAATCAAATTTTTCGATAAAAGGTAATAACATACGTATGCCTAAAGTCGATTTGTAGTATTCTCTGTCACGTGAAAGAAATAATCTATTCCACAAAAAATGGTAAAACGGATATAGATGGAAGTTTTTTCATTTTCATATCCTGAACATTTCTTTTATTTTCTCGTAGATTTTTATCTGTTATTAAATAAAAGTAAATATGAACTTTGCATCGCATTTCGCATAGAACCTCAACGTTGTCGGTTTGGATTGAAGTTACACTGGTAAGTGAAAAATGTGCTAAATGTAATTATTACTTGCTTTATCAAAACTGAAAATCTATCAACTGTGTTCTTTCTTATTTGTTGTTTTAACGACTTTAGTTCCCGAGGCTTAATTAATTTTCGCTCGGAAAATGCTTAATGTATTGGCTCTTTGATATTAAATAATTATTTCCACTTAAAAGAAAATCTGACAGCCAAAGAAAGTGCTGGGAAATAACTGCAATGAAATAAATACTCTCAAAAACGTGTTTTTATAGAAAAACTATATAAAAAAGTTAAAATAACCATTTGAAAAATATAGCTGCAATGATTGTTATTCTTTGATTTGACACAGAGCGAAAATTTACGTGTGCATTCTACATTGTTTACAACCTGATTGACCTTTTTTCCAGGAAATTTACATGTAGGCCTACTGCACGTCTCTGGGAAAGATTTGTTTAAAGCACGCAGGGAACCAGTTTACCACATTTATTGAAATATAACACAAAATTCACAATCTTTATGCTGTTAAAATACAGGGGAACCGAACAAAAAGTATATATAAAAAATTCTAGTAAATAAAAAACAACAAATATCGGCTGATGTCATAAAAAACATCCAATAGTATTTCTAAAAATTTTACAAAAATCAAATCTGTCCTATAAAAGTTTAGAACGATTTGATTTAACCATATTAATNAGAAATCAAGTGCAGAATCCCGTGTTACACTGTTCATTCTTAACACTTCTTATAAAACGTAATACTGAATATTTCCATTCGTAATGAATATATTACATAACTAGGCATGTAATATTACCTTTGCAGATTCTGGATGTAAGAAAAAGATTAATTTATATCCAAATATGTTTATACAGACGACTTTCTCGTTTGTGAATAGCATAGGAAGTCCGGTAGAGAGATTTCTATTAATCGGAAAGTTACGAAAAAATATTTATGTATTCCTAAACAGTGAAATTACTCAATAAAATATTAATGACTTACATTTGCCGATGTGTGAATCGTGGTATTGTTTGTCACGTTGAGAAAATACAATGTTCCACAAAAATGGTAAAAAGGACATAGTCGGAAGATTCATTTTTATTTCCTGGCCGTTGTCTTTATTATCTGAAAAATTAATGTCTGTTATAAAAATAAAAGTTGATAACGAGCGTCGTCAGAATGACGAGCAGTAATTTTTTTATCATATTTTTTATTTATTTAATTTAAAATATATGACCTCGACTCAAATTAGTTGTGGTTTGCCTCTGTACAGTACATCATACTTTTCCTTTAACAACAGAGTCGTGCCGGTCATTTCTCTAATACCTTTCAGGGGGAAATATTTGAATTGGAATAATACGACTTCCGATTTTCACGAAAGTTCTTTTATAGTTATTCAGGGCCGCACGTGCAGAAGATGTCCACGGCTTGTCTCGTTCGTCGTATATTTTACCACGTTCTTGAAATTAAAGAAGGCAACCGATAGTAGGAATTTTTAGGCCTACAGTTATTTCGAATTTCAGCTCAACAACTATGTATTGTACATCATAAAAGTACTTTGTTTTCATTTTGTTATATTCGATTTATTCATACAAGCAATTGTATTATATTGCAATCGTACAAATAAGTTTCGTTAACAATGTTAGAATATGCAAAATGTATATTTTGAAATAATTATTGGATATTTTTTAAGTTGTAAATAATATTTTTATTGCTAAATTCTGTTTGCTCGTATTGTAGATAATTCAGTAAACTAGGAGCACTTTCAAGTGCAGCAACGGTTTGCAAACTCGTTTTACATCATAAAGGATGCGCTATATTTAAGCTACTTGTCACTTTGCATAAGCAGTAGAGAATGTGGTATTATGGACCCCAATTACATTATAGTGAATTGTAAAGAAGTTATCATAACTACACCCACATTTTTTGTGCGAAAAGTGCTGGTAACTATTAAACTAAATGTTCCTAATTGGATGTTTCGCTAGTGTAATTATAAGTATGGTTTTTGACGGCTTCGGTACAAAAAGTCAGAAAGATGACTTAGGGAAAACCGAGTGGTAATATGGAACCTTACTGTATGTTTTCAAAAAATGCTTTAATGTATCCAAAAACAAAGAGGATAGTACAAAGAATATTAAATAATTACAAAATTATTTACTCCAATGTATTTTATCGAAAAAATGCTTTTATGATAGAAAAACATGACCTCCATCAACAATATATATTCCAGCAGCTTTTTTTTCGATATTCTCGGGAAGAATTGACTTTCTACCTAGTGTCTTTTTCACAAATCGCTCCGGACAAATGTCTGCTTGCAAAGAGAGAGTTCGGAAGAGTTGGGTTCCATATTAAAAGCACCAATGCATCGCCATCTCGAATGAACTTATGTCTGTCAAGATCAAACTTCAAAAAACGTGAAACTCACACAGATTGACGGTCTTTAAGGCCATTTGTGAATTTTTTTTTGAATTTTTGGAATGTTTTTAAGTCTCCAANACCTTTCTCATTATCATTTTATCTTTTGGCCTTTCTCTCCTTTCCCCGAATTTGAGTCTATACTCCTTTGAGTCACAACTTCAGTTTTATTTAATATACCTTCCTCATTCACACATTTCCAAGTATTTGAAAATGTTTCCTTTTCACTCAAAATTAAAATATGTATAAAGGTTTACTGCTTTGTGAAACGTCTTTTTTGAATTTGTGCCGTTAAAATAAATAAATAAATAAATAAATAAAATAAAATAAAAAAATCTGTCGGTTTTTTACACGTTTATTGGGCCACATTGGAACTTGCCTTGGGCCGCATGCGGCCCGCGGGCCGCGGGTTGGACACCCCTGCGCTACAGTTCAGTTAATTTATTATCAGTTTGAAATGGATAGGTTCAATAATACCACCTTTTTTTAAATATAATATAATAAAAAGCAAACAACAGAGATGCACGAACATTTTATATACACTAGTAGACAAACATTCTCAGAATGTGGAGATTCGCAAAAATTTGCGAAGATGAAATTTGACGCGATTCCGATACTTTTTTTATGTATACGTGCACGAGAACTTCAAAAGTAAAATCGGACATTCTTTTATAAATAATGCATTAAAAGTAATCGCAAAGCGTCACGTCACGTGGTAGAAAATCGACCAACAAAATGTTAATATTTAAAAATTGAGCTTATAATTTTATAAATATTCGATATTCTGACATAAAACCTTCAAAGGAACCACAAAAGAGGTGGTCGGTTCAGTGGCGTAGCGTGGGTGTCAGCCTCCCGGGGCGGAGGAATATTTCGCCCGCCTTATTTAGGTATCTCAATTTAAAAGATTAAAATTCAATTTCGTCACAGAATAAGAAATGAAAAGTTCAGTGCTAGTGTTGCCACCTTATTAAAATCTCTGACCTGGAAGGCAGGTGAGGTTTGTTCGAATAGAAGTTCCTGACGCATGCATATGCCATTTTGCAATGCGAAGAATAATGTGCAGTGCATGCTGGTTCTAAATCAGTTACAGTTAGCGACTAGGGAGACTTTGATAGGAGTAACGCAAGTGAACTAGCTGTATTGGATATTGGAGATATATATATATATATATACGAATAAATCGTACAAGCAAAACAAAACAGAAAAAGTCAACAGGTTTCTCCCGATATCCCCGGAGGGTGAGTCGATTCCCAAACTATCCGGATGGATGGTAACAATATTCCGTGCTCATTTCAATTGGTTCGAGTCGTAGGTGGACGATAATATGAAATAAGATGATTCAAATTCTTACAACATATTAATATTTATTGTGAAGTTTTTCCGCCCTTTAAAAAGTGCCACCCGGGGCGGACCGCCCCTGCCGCCTCCACTACGCAACGCTACTGGGTCGGCTGTCGAAAGAATTCTTAAGCGTAAGCAGACATTTTCTAGATTTTCCGCAAGCTTAGTTGGTGTCGCGAAAATCCCTCTCGTTGAAAATCAATTCGAAATTGCAGTACTGTATTTGGAATTTCAAAACGATCCAAAGAATTTATTCAAAGTTTAAGACTTCCGTATCGCTCATCGCGGACACTAAATATTTTAAATTTCATCCAAATCGGTTGGATGGTCTCAGAGATGTTAATCATTAAATTTAGCCCTTTAACATTAGACGTGTGGCTGAGCTCTACTATAAAGCTCTGTAGCGCCGTCGAGTCACTTCTTTCGTGTTAAATTAATGATATTTTAAAAATTAAACTAACGAAAAATATTCAATTATTGGCTTACCTCCAGATATAGATGAATTCTCTCCATGTTTGTTCGATGTCGAATCATTTTCCTGTTGTTTCCTTCTGTTTCTCCATTTCTTTCGTAGTGAATATATCACAAAAAGAGAATAAATAACTAAACTTAAGAGAATTTGGAACGAACTCAACAGACACATGGTCAATATTGCTCTGCAGTTTTCGTTGCGGTACTGTACGTAATAATCAAATATCTATGCGTAAAACAACAAGCGCCGAATAATGCTAATCAAAATCAGAGTTTTTCTGCCACGTGATTCACAGTCGGCCTATTATAGAAGACTAAATTCGCACTACGAGACTTGACTTTTCTCGAGCTTGAAAAATTTAATTTATGTTTTTTACTAGTTACAGCACAATTTCATTTAAAAAAAGGGGTTGTAATTTGAGTACATGTTGATTGTAGTTATATAATAATTAAATATTACTTTAATTTATGTTATGGTTGAGTTACAAAGGGTAAAGTCGTTAACTATTCCAAAGACAATGCGGACGGACAGACATATTCAGGAAAATTATATATAATTTAACATACGTAGAAAATTATCGATTTTTACTGTTAATATAATTCAAAAATTTTTATGATTTACGAATTTTCTGTTATGAATATTCGTTTAGTAAAATGGAAATAAAAAATTTACTGAATAAAAACATTTTCATACAATTCAATTGTGTAAGAGCTAAGAAAGTAAGAGTGATTCTCCCATTCTAAATTAAGTCGGTGAGGCAGAAACATCATGTAATCACGCTTATAGTTTAGTTTTTATAAAAATTTATTAT